GCTCATGTATGTCCGCATTCAGGTTGGGCAAGCGTCCTGCAGCGCTTTGCTGGATAGCGGCGCGTCTCGCAATTTCATGAGCCAGTCCTTTATGCAAAAGGCTAGCCTTGGCGCACAAGTTCGGAGGAAGGCAACCCGACGGCGATCAAGTTGGCGGATGGAAAGACGCAACAACTTCTCGACCCTTACATTGAGGCCGTCCTGGTCTACTTCGCACCTCATGCATGCGAACCGGTGACATTCGATATTCTCGACACAGACTTCGACATCATTCTGGGAATGCCTTGGCTTGCAAGTGTGGATCACACGATCAACTTCCACCGGCAGACTCTTAGCGTTCGCGACGCCTTCGGCGCGGAAGTGGCGTGTACTATTCATCTACCGCACCCTTCGATCCAGTGCCAAGTGGTGACGACCAAATCATTCCGGGCGACTTGTGCTTACGAGCAGCCCGAGGAGATCGGCCTATGTTTTTTACGGACCGTCGCGGTAGCCGACTCTTCACCCACGGACTTGTCTTCGGACCCCCGTGCGGTACGGTTGCTGAACGAGTTCGCCGACATCTTCGAGTCACCTACCGGTGTGGTGCCGGATCGGCCGATCTCTCACGAGATCATTCTTGAGGTCGGTGTCGTGCCGCCGAAAGGTTGCATCTATCGGATGAGCGAGGAGGAACTTGAGGTCCTCCGCGCACAACTCGACGATTTGTTGGCCAAGGGTTGGATCCGCCCTAGCAGCTCCCCATATGAAGCACCAGTTCTCTTCGTCAGGAAGAAGAACAAGGATCTACAACTGTGTATCGACTACCGCAAGCTCAACGTGCAAACCGTCAAGAATGCGGGGCCTCTTCCTCGCATCGACGATCTTCTTGAGCGATTGGGCGGCGCAAAATATTTTTCCAAGTTGGATTTGAAATCAGGATATCATCAAATCTCGATCTAGCCGAACGACCGCTACAAGACCGCATTCAAGACGCGGTACGAGCATTTCGAGTGGGTGGTCATGCCTTTTGGCATCACAAACGCCCCAGCGACCTTTCAGGCGGCAATGACCAATGAATTCCGTGCAATGTTGGACCGGTTCGTGCTGGTCTACTTAGACGATATTCTCGTCTATAGCCGGTCATTGGAAGATCATCTTGGGCATCTTCGACGAGTGTTGGAGACGCTCCGCCGCGCCAAGTACAAGGCCAACCGCGACAAGTGTAAATTTGTCCGGCAGGAGCTGGAATACTTGGGCCATTTCGTCAAACCGGAGGGCATCAGTCCGCTATCGGACAAGATTCAGGCCGTCCAAGAGTGGCCGGAGCCTCAGAACGTCACGGATGTCCGCTCGTTCCTCGCTCTCGCCGGCTACTGTCAGCGCTTCAGCAAAGGCTACTCGAAGATCGCGGCCCACTTGAACAAGCTTCAATGCGAGGATCGGCCGTTTGACTTCGGAGAGGAGGCACGGGGATCATTCTTCGCTCTCAAAGCCGCGCTATTGTCGGCGGAGGTTTTGCGGATATACGACCCGCTCTTGCCTACGCGCGTCACTACGGATGCGTCAGGCTATGGCATTGGTGCAGTCCTCGAGCAACATGGCGGTGTGGACTGGCACCCGGTCGAATACTTCAGCAAGAAAGTGCCCATCGTGCATTCCATTGATGATGCACGCAAGAAGGAGCTCCTCACCTTCGTCCACGCGCTCAAGCGGTGGCGGCACTTCCTCCTTGGTCGAAGCCAATTTCGCTGGGTGACGGACAACAATCCGTTGGTCTTTTACAAGACCCAAGACACCGTCAACAGCACCATCGCTCGATGGATGGCTTTCATCGACCAGTTTGACTTCTTTCCCAATCACATTCCCGAGAAGTCGAACCGTTTTGCGGATGCTCTTTCACGGCGTCCGGATCATTGTACCGCGGTGTACTCAACCTTCGAGATCGACGACGACCTGCGGAACAGTTTCATCCGCGGCTACCAAGCCGACCCCGAGTTTCGCAACAAGTACGCGAATTGCTCCTCTCCTAATCCGACTCCTTCTCACTACCGGATCCAAGAGGGGTACTTGCTTGTCCACACGCGGGGGAAGGACCTTCTTTGCGTACCAAGTGATCCTCACTTGCGTACACAGCTTCTTGGCGAGTTCCACGATGCTCCCGCCACCGGACACTTTGGAGTCAATCGCACGATTGGCCGACTTCGCCAACGATTTTGGTGGTCCGGCCTTCTCGGCGACGTCACGCGCTATTGCGAGTCACGCGAGGTTTGCCGACGCTGCAAATCCCGCAACCATCATCCGTACGGCAAGTTACGACCATTGCCAATCCCGTTGAGGCGAAGGAAAGCGATTGCCATGGACATTACCATCCCGTTCCCCAAGCACAAGACCGGAGTGGATAGGATTCTTACGGTGGTCGACCGACTCACCAAGTTCGCCATGTTTTTGCCTTGTCGCTATCATGCCAAGGCATCGGAGTTGGCCGAGGTTTTTTACGCCGGTTGGATTCGAACCAAGGGTTACCCTAAGGAGATCGTTTGCGACCGCGACACTCGGTTTATGTCCGATTTTTGGTTGGCGCTCATCAAGCGATGGGGCTCATCTCTCAAGCCCAGTTCAGCTCGCCACCCTCAGACCGATGGCTAGACGGAGAGGGCGCATCAGACCGCACAGGTTCTTCTTCGCACTCTCATCCTCCCCGACCAGAAAGATTGGGTTGAGCGAATGCCGGACGTCGAGTTGACCTACAACTCTTCCATCCACCCGGCTATTGGGATATCACCCTTCGAGTTCGAGCACGGCTCGCCAGTCACGTCACCGTTCGACACTATTACTCCACGCACGGCCGAGAGCGACGACCATCTTTTTTTCTTGCGTCGGATGCAAGAGCTTCTTGTTAAGGCATGCGACCAGATGGCTAAGACGCAACAGCGCATGAGCCAGCAGGCCAATCGCCAGCGTCTTCCTTGTCCATTCTGCGCCGGTGACCTCGTCTGGGTTTCCGCAGCGGAATTCAGCCTTGAACAAGATATCTCTCGCAAGCTCCTTCCGAAATGGATGGGGCCTTGGCCGATCGTAGCGCCCGCTGGGGACGCACCCGAAGGACCTTTCTTCACGATTCAGCTGCCCGGCCACTTGCCCGTCTACCCAGTCTTTCATTGCTCCAAATTGGCTCTCTACACGCCAGCGGAACATGACAATTTTCCCGGGAGACGTTTGCAAGACCCACCTTCTATGGATGGTTTTCAGGAGGTCGGCGACATCATCTCCCAGCGACGCTTTGGCAACAAGCCAACTGAGTATTTGGTGCATTTTGCATACAGCACACACCAAGCTGACCGATGGTTAACCCGTGCAGAACTTCAAGCGACAGCTCCAGACGTTCTCGCACGCTATGARCGCAAGATGCAAGGCAAGCCGGTTTCTTCGGTTCCACGCCACGCCCGCGTCCAGGTTCCACCTTCATATCGTCGGCTTCGCCCTCGCCCCGGCTTGACTTCATAAGGAGGGGGGGGTGTTACATGCTGCGCCTGCACACGCAGGCCATTTTCTTCAGCCTGAAAACAGGGGCCTACAGTCCCTGTGTCGTTTCAAACTAACAATGGCAAGAGCCTTTTTAGCCTGAAACGAAGGGCTATTTTCGGTCAGAACAACCGGCCCTGAAACTCAGGCACCAAACCAGGGTTTCGGGAACAAGGTATTCTTAGCCTGTATCCACGCCAGCCTCAGCAGATGCTGCAGCGCCAGCCCCTGGCACACTTCGGCATTGGCAAGAGCAGACTCCTCGACCTGGCTGGCCCTTCAGGCAGTCAGGAGGCAGGCCGTGGATTGGCAAGAGCAGCCTCCTCGGCCTGGCTGGCCGTTCAGGCAGTCGAGAGGCAGGCC